GGTACAGAAAAGATCGAAAATAAAGTTGTTCTGTGAAAATGATATTGTTTAAAAACGGAAATATATTTAAGGCACGGATCGCCCATTGAAAGACATCAAAATTCCCACAGTCGACCCCGCGCGGTACTGATTTTCGTCATTTGCCGGGTGTTCCTGAAGGAAGCAGAGGTCATTTTTCTGTGGAAAAAACGGCGGCAGTTAGCTGATGGTGTGTAACTGCGACTGTTAATCTGACAGAATATAATTATTCTTGGGTGAACGCTCGAGATTACACTAGAAGATAAGATATCAATTCAAGGTAAACAAAACACTGCAGGTGTTGGCTAGCGAAGGACGGACTGATCGGAACGCCCAAGTACGTATGCAAAGAAGGTACAGTAGCAGGACAGTGGAAAGCTACGTAATCCAAATAAAGTTTAGTCGACTTTGAAACGCGGCAGCTATAAAACCTTTGAGATTGATAAACCAGAGGAAAGAGGTAAACTCTGGTCGTCGACTGTATGTGTCGGAAAGGACTGGGCCAGATCGCAAGTTTTGGTGTTGCGGTGGGCCGAAATGCCGATGAAGTGGCAAAAGCTTGTAAATGTGCTTCTGAAGGAAGCAGAGGTCGTTTTTCTGTGGGAAAAACGGCGGCAGTTAGCTGATGGTGCGTAACTGGGACTGTTAATCTGACAGAATATAATTATTCTTGGGGAACGCTCAAAGTTACACTAGAAGATAAGATAATCAATTCAAGGTAAACAAAACACGACGCGATGAGTCGATCGGGAATTGACGGACAGTTGATGCGCTTGGTTCCAACTGTCCTCATCCGACGACATGTCATCATATCTATTTTACTATTAATTACTATAAGACCCGTAAGACTGCTAACGTACGAATCGTATTGGTCCGAGTCATGAAACCCGTTCTTGATACAATTCTGTCATTCAGAATCGTAGTTGGGAGGTGTTGCCAAGCGTTGTTGACCACCAGCTTTGGTAAACTTGTCGTCCACGACAATCTTGAAGTGTTCCATTTGTCCACTGGACAGAATGGTTTGACCCTTTTCAATGTAGGCTCGTTGGTGCATGATGGCAATGGCAGGTCCACATTGGGTGTGGATTAATCCAGACAAAGTGACTATAGGAATATCAGCCACTTGGTGGTTTCAATGCCTTGTACGTCAACAGTACAATTGGGTTTGTGGATGATGCGGGCATCATCTCCAGCAATGCCGCCATTGGCACCTCTATCAATCAAAGCTAGGTGTTTACGAGCGTTGACTTTCTGGATAGAACAGATAATAGTATGGTTATTAACTGATCTATATTTTACTCCATCAAATGTAAGCTCGTGTTGCTTGGCTTCTTGTGGGGGTGTAGGCAGAGGATGCTTGGTAGCCGGTACGATATCCAGCTTATCAGACATCACACACTGTTGCTCCCCATTCTCCAAATCCATTGGGTACTCTTCAGTCTCATCTTGTTCAGGAAGAAGAGCATCAGAATCAATACAAATACTCTCACAAGTGACAACACTGGCATACGTTACCGAAAGAGTAGGATCAGTTTGGTCCCCTTGAGCACATATCCGGGCCTTTTGTGTGAGGTCCATCATGACATCAAAGACAGTCATCAAGTCAATACAAGTATATCCAGGGGGAACAGGTTCATTTGGTCCCAAGATTCTTAAAGCAGGCAACACAGTTTTAACTTCCTTTTCAATAGCATTTCCACAATGATTGCTACCAGTGTTGGCGTCAATCTCGTAGGCACGTCTCACACCTTTTGGACCAGTACCAGGCAATTCTAAACCAAATTTCTCAGTCTTGCGAGTTAAGGCTCTTCTTTTAACAGCCTTTAGAATTCTATCAAACTTCTTCAAAGTATAAGGAACCCACCAAGAGAAAGCAGGCTCAGACACAAGTTTGTTAGCAACAGCATATTCGGCCACCTGAATTGGATAGGCCTCCTTTGCAGTTTTCAAATCAATCCTTTCTGTCTCATCACCATGAATTTGAGCACACAGATACCACCCTTTTGTAGTTCTTCGAGGAACTTTCTTATTCTTTACCATGTCAAAACCATCATCAGCATGGACTCATGTGCCATCTGTCCTGTGGTCAATAAATTCTTTTACATGGAGGATACTATTACTGTCATCGTCAACATTCATCATCATTGCTTCAATAACTTCGTTTGCACGATAGGATTCAGTTTCACCGTCATGCCATTTGATTTCATAAATAGAAGTATCCAAGACAGGCTTCTCATGATACGAACCAACCATCGAGCCGTCTGCTCTTCTTTTTCTTCCACGAACAACTCCAAATTTGTCAATACCATTTTCATTCTTCCGGATCTTAACACCAACATATTTGTCAAATTCCACCTGATCATCTTCTTCAGATGGGGCTTCCTCAAAAAGCTCTTCATGCTGCAACATTTCATCATCTTCATATCGTTCAAAGTGCGGAGTGTTAGCATTCGTGTGCAGAGGTCTGATATACTTTTCATCAGATTCGTAAGCACCCGAAGGATCCTGTAAATCATCAATCTTGATGGGGTCAGAGTTTTTCAAACAGTTATGCAAGTCTTCGGTAAAACACTTTTTCAGATCTTTGATATCTGTACTATCCCGCTCTTCTCTGGAGAGAGGAATCACACTTGAACGCTGTAAAACTTTTCCACGAGAAGTGGCACATGCAAAACACAGAGATCCGCCAATGTTAAAACTAGGTCCAAGCCAACGACACAATTGCTTATTCTCTTGACTGGAGTGTGTCGGGGACAAAGCCCAACACCAATCATAGATACCAAAATCAGCCAGATGCGAGATATCTTTCGTATTACCGGAGATCCAACCGGCACCACAGTCATCACCTTGTCGAGAGTGACCAAGAACCATGTGACTTCTTAATTCCAAGCAATAGATAAAGACTCGATCCCAGAACGCTTTTGGGATCCCTCTTCTTGTCATAAAACGAACATACATTTTTGTTGCTTCACGAATACAATCTTCAGCAAGGTTCTGATCAGGATTGTAAGGCTCGCTAGGATGTATTGGAACCTGGGCCTTATTTGCAACTCTTCGAAATTCTCCAGCAGTCAACGATTGAGCATCATCAGGTCGGAGAACTCTTGGAAAGCCAATATCACGAAATAGTTCCTTGAGCGAGTTGCTCACTTCAGATTCTTTCTTCAAAGCGTAGCCACGGGCCCATTGACAGGCAGCAGCATAGACAGCAACATATTTATTTCCTTCAGCAGAAACACAGGGGCCTTGTTTGATATCGGCCCAAATATCAGCACGCAACCTAGGATATTCAAGTTGGAATTGAGTGGGGCGAAATCGTCTTGAGCCTTCGACTTTAGTCCAGTCCCGCAAAGCACGGATTCCGGGTCATAAGGTTCCCAAGGGACGGAACTGGTCATTTCCACTGAGACATATTCATCAAGTTCAGACAGCGCAGGTTTGCGACAAGCAAAGAAGCTGATAGGCTTCAGGAAGTCCATCGGAATGTGTAATCCCGAGTTTTCATCAATAATGGAATGCGAATATTGATTGCGATCTTCGCGTTTCAGACGTTGGAGGGGCACATCATTCACAATTATACCAAAATCTCGAAGTTGATCAACACAAAGGAGATTACTTTTCATGGTTGGGATGTACAATGCTTGATCAAAGATCAAGATATACGTTTCAAGGGACAGAGGACAATCATAAGCAACTGCAACTTTCGCAACTTTAACATTAGGCACACTGCCGAGCGAAGGATCAAAGCCTTTAACTGTCAAGGTATGGGGATAGGTTGCAAGAACCAAACAATTTTCGCCAAAAGCACAAGTATCTGCGTGTGAGTCAAGCTCACATTGGGGCAAGGAGTGGGAAAGGGACATTAAAACACGAACACGAGAGGAAAGGGAACAAGTAACACGAATCTGATAGTCGGCCTCATGTCAGCGACGGCCACGTCGAACGCCAATACCAACGTTGCCAGAAGAGGGTGCTGGAGCTGGTGTTGGTGCAGGTTTGTCATTTTGTTGGCGGTCACGATTTTGTTCATGCAAAGAGTTCAATTCTGCAATGTCACGTTCACTCATAAGACGACTGTTAGCACGTTCACGGGCTTGGAGAACAACACGGCGATCACGATCAGAGAAACGGCTCCAAGTGTCTTGGGAGTATCCACCGTTGTTGAGGATGGTCGTACCATCATCGGACCATACAGTACCATCGTGGTCGCGACTACCACCTCGTCCGCGACCCCCACCACGTCCATGTTGATTACGATTACGATTACGACCACCACGATCACGACCACCATTATCACGATCACGACCACGTCCACGTCCGCGATTGGAGTTTCGTCCTCCACCATCGACCGCAGCCAAGGCTCTTGTACCGCTAATCGCAGTTAAGCGATGAGTTTGCTGGGCCGTATCTTCAGTCTGCAAAGTGTTGATAGCCGTGCGCAGGTTTTGCATACATGCTTGACTTCCTCGGACAAGTGTCTTACAGGCGTCCAAGCCTGCACCCTGCGGGCCTTCTTTGATCATGCTCAAGAACCTGGTTACCTTGGCATGTTCTGACATGCCATCGTCACAGTTTTTCAAACCTTCAAAGGCACCAAGAACCCGTGCCGCAAAATTTTTCAAAACTAAAATTCTTCTTTCCATTGTAGTGGGTCGTATTCAAGATGCGGTAGGCAGAGTCGCGCCTCTTATTGAGTTGGCCCTCACCCTGATAGTGGGCAACCAGATCAAGATACGCTTGCCTTCCATTTTCTGTAGTCTTGTATCCCTTTAGAACAGGCCAAGCATCGGTGCCATGGCATACTGAATATAACATATTCCACACAGCTTTGTTATTAGCGACAAACTGGTCCTCTCGATGCAAGCTCCGACGAATTGCCTCATCTTCCACAGATGGCATAAGGAAACCAGGATCAGCTGTTGGATTGTCGTCCGGATTTTGATGCTCACAGATTACATATGTTAGCAAAGTGCCACCCTTTCCGCGATTGCGCTTCAACCACTGTTCCAAGCTCTCCATCAGTTCGACTGTATTTTTATTATCAAATTTGGGAGGCATAACCTCTGAAATATCTTCAAATTCGTTCGACTTGTTCTTCAAGTGGGAATAATAGCGATTGATCTTTGCCAAATTTGCTTGCGTCCCAAAAGCTGGATCATGTTGGCGATCCACCATAAAAATAAATCGGCAATAGTCGCAAAGGTCGTAGAGCATGATTTTCTGGGCTTGGTTGATGGAAAATGTGGTGTCAGGATCATTTCCTGGATCAATCACAGTGCGATTGATCTGCTTCACCAAGGAATCAATATTTTCGCGCGTCGAGCGGGCAAAGAAGGCAGGGGAGCTGAAGCCCTGTTCAATAACAATCTCTTGTGCCTCATCCTGAGAGAAATCAAGAACATCTCGAATGTAGTTTCTCCATGCGATTCTTGTAGCGGCCATCGTTCGATGTCTTTCGTGTTGTTGTAAAAATAACACGGCACAAATTTCAATATTTTTGTTTTGCCAGTTGTTTTCAGTTTCTGATCGGAGTTGTATAATGCAATTTTGCATGACTACGTCAGTGTGAGATCTTAATTAAAAGAATTGCACTACAAATAATTATATACGGAGTATCGAGCGAGATATCCTGGGTACGTCTACCCGTGTGGCAAATTACTCGCAACCAAACGGTTTAAACGGTAACAAGTGGCCGTCTTCAGTCAACGCTCGAGACTGAA